GCCCGCCTGCGGGCGTGGAGGGAGGGGGCTCAGCCAGGGTCCGAGACCAGCCCCCTTTGCATGCCTGTCCCCTCCGCTCTTTTCGTGCCGGTCTCCTCTCCCGCCGCCTGCCGGAAGAGCAGACAGCGCCCCCTCCCGTGGCCGGGCCCGTGCTAGACCTCGGGTTCCTGTCCTGCCTGTCCCCCGCCCTCGCCCCGTGCCCTTCTCCCCGCCAACCTCCCCGTGCCCCACGAGTGTGGCTGAGATGGCAGGGTCCCCGGAACCTACCTCTCAACCAGATTTCCCATTTTCACCAGGACTTCCCCATTCTTTGCCAGACGTGTCTTGGAGAAAACCCATATATCCGAATGGTGAGTGATGGTGTGTGAAACGGGAATTATTCGTATTCTGTAAACGTGGTGGTATTTGCACAACTGTCCTGAAGTGCTTCTCTTAGCCATGCAGAAGTAGTGATGCTCCTCTACTAACCCAAAGTCTATGACAGTTTGCAAAGACTGTCACGCTTATTCTGTCACTTTGAAACTCAGCGACACTCCTGTGATATAGGAGCCATAATGAAAGCTCAGATTTGTTGAGCATTTACCTGGGAGAGACACCTATAAACCAGAAGTTGAGTTAATGTCTTTTTACATAGCAAGTAATGAGTGGAGCTGGGATTTAAATTCAGATATGCTCCAGGGACCTCAGCAAGTTAGGAAGAGAACCAGAATGCTAGGTTTCCTGACTCCTAATCAAATGCCTTTTGGCCACTGCACCTTGTCTGTCTCTTTTAATGTAAGGTGGCCCCTATTGTCACATAAGGGTAGAATTAGTGACAACATTCAATAATTAGATTATTGATTTCAGAGAGAGGAAGGGAGAGGGAGAGAGAGATAGAAACATCAATGATGAGAGAGAGTCATTGATCTGCTGCCTCCTGCACGACCCCCACCAGGGATCAAGCCCGCAACCTGGGCATGTACTGCTGAGCCATGCTGGCTGGGCAGGACTATATTCTTGTGGGTGTTGATACATTGATTGTTCAAGATGTCGAATAGCTTATGGGAAGGGAACATTTAATACATGCAAGATATTAGCACAGCCTGTGGTAGTTACCTTCTAACTAAACTTTGTAAAATGGGCTGACCATGGCTACATCCTTCCTGATGCAGGGACTGTGGAAACAGGACGTTTAGGAAGTTTATTTCTTGGGAGAGAACTTGGAAGACAGTAGTGAACCTAAGAGTTTTGGCTCTGTTAAGACGCATACTTACCTGGTGTTAGATCCATAAGATTCTTTAGAGGTTATAACTCATAGTAGGTGATTAGGATATATACCCCACTCCCTGCCCTTTGGGATGCCAGGGATCTCCAGACACATTTCTTGGGTTGTATTTGGGGAAGAAGCAGATATCTGGTCTGCTTCAGTTGTTTTCTGGTGTTTTTTTTTTCTATTTCAGACCAAAGAAAAGTACGGGAAGGAATGCAAAGTAAGTATGTCTGTTAAAGAGTAATGATTTCGTTTTATTTTCCTTTTTTTCTACCAAATTAGCCTTCAACTTGCTGAGCTTTGAGGTCTTCCAGTAAAAGTCAGTGCTACGCAACTTTCATGTGTCATTTATATACTCACTGGCTGTTAACTGTTTAGTGTGTGAGGTAAGAAAATGAGCCCTTTAATGCAGGGGTTCTTAACCTGGTGCCTGTGGATTTTGAACCCCTTGAGATTATAT